AGAGGCCAGCCAGAGAGGGCTACCAGAGTGGGACCCTGTGAAAACACAATGAAACAAAAATCAAACAAGAGATTAGGTTCTTACTCCACTTTGATGCTGCTGGAGGTCAGAAAATGAATCTCCAAACTGTGGTGCTCTGACATGCTGGGAACTTTGAATCAACAGACTTTGGAGGTCTTTAGAAGCAGCCTCAGAACCAAGGTGTCTCTGATCTTCTCCGTACCGCCTGCCTCTTGTCCTTGCTTTTTCCCAGTGTGTATCCAAGAAGCCAAAAATACTTCTTACCCAAAGCAGGTCATAGGAAGGTATTCCTCTAATTTCCCCTCAGCTTTCTGTATAGGGTCTGTGTTATGGTTTAAATAAAATGATAGAGTTCCTCAAGGGGCCCACTGGCCACGAGGCGCAGGCAGGGAGTCACATGGTGGGTGAGAAACAGAGACCTATTAGGCATGCTATGCAGAGTGAGATTAGATATTTATTTAGTGGGTTATGGAAGGGAAGGGAAAAAAGGGAAGGGGAAAGGGGGGAAGAGGAGAGAGAGAGAGAGAGAGAGAGAGAGAGAGAGAGAGAGAGAGAGAGAGGAGAGGGAAAGGAGAGGAGCCATAGGCTCCTGCCTCTGTCTCCTGTGAACAAGAAATTAAAGGCATGCACCACTGTGCCCAGCGAGAACAGTTTACATATAATCTACTGAGACTGTATTCCAGCCAGCCTTTCTCATAGGTATACTTATTTTTCACTTATGCTGGGACTGAAGACCTTGGATATTTATTTATTTGACCTTTAAGCATTATTTGTATATAGATATATAATTTTGAAAATTTGATGTAGGTTCTTATTATGTAGCCTGGGATGTCCTTCAGCTCATTGTGTAGACTAAACTGTCCTTGAACTCACAGATTCCTGGGTTCCTCTGCCTCCTGAGTGCTGGAATTAAGGGCATGCATCACCTCCCAGCCGGTTAATTAATTCATTTATTTAGTTAGGTTTTTTTAGGCAGTATTCCTCTATGTGGCCCTGGTTGTCTTGGAACTCACAGAGATCAGCCCGTCTTTGCATCTCAGTGTATCTGAGATAAAAGGTGTGCACCATCCAGTATTGTATTTCTTTATTTTTAATATATTTCTGAGTGTGTCAGTGTCTATGTGTATGCTGTGTGTGTTCAGGGAGGCCAGAAGGAGGCTCTGGATTCCCTGGAGCTAGAGTTACAGATGTTCGTGAGTCAGCTGATGGAGGAGCTGCAAACTGAACTCGGGTCCTCTGGAGGAAGAGCAAGTGTTCTAAACCATCCAGCCACCTCCGCAGCCCCATCAACAACTTCCAGCTGAACAAATAGTACTTCCCTGGACAGCTGAGTGATGAGTTCTGAAGCTGAGTCTAAGTCGTGGAGGACAGAGGACAGATGTTAGCATGTGTGGTGGTGATTAAAGACAGAACAGCCTGGTATAGTGGTGCATACTGTTAATCCCAGCACTCAGGAGGCAGAGGCAGAATCTCTGTTGAGTTCAAGACCAGCCTGTTCTACAGAGCAAGTTCCAGTGAGATGCTTTCTAAAAAAGAGAAAAGAAAAGAAATCTCTATTAAATTCTGCTTTCATGGAATCGGGTGTGTTGTAATAGAAGAGTCGGGGCTGCGTCCCCAGCACCCCAGCCGCCTGCTAGCTTATGCCTCGAAATAATTACACAGACACTGTATTCTTTTAAACACTGCTTAACCCATTAACTCTAGCCCTTAAAGGCTAATTCTCCTATCCCGATCAACCCATCTCTAGTAATCTGTGTAGCATCAGTCTTACCGGGAAAGATTCTAGCCTATGTCCATCCTGGGTCTGAGCTTCATGCGTCTGCCTCAGAGAGCAGAGCTATCGCATCTGCCTGGGAGAGGGGAGCATGGCGTCTCTGAGCTCACTTCCTCTTCCTCCCAGCATTCTGTTCTGTTTACTCCTCCCACCTATGTTTTAACCTATCAGGGCCAAGCAGTTTCTTTATTGCTTAACCAACGAAATCAACAGATTGATATATGACACTCCCACATCACGGGTGAGCAGCTTAATCTAACACAGCATCATCAGCCTTTAGTTTCTCATTGAAAGGTTGGGGTTGTATGCCTGCACCACAGACTGTGGCGACAGTGAAGTGGGTCAATACTGGAAGAACCATGTAAAGAACATTGCGTGAGAATCCTGCAGCAGCGACTGCCTCCATAAGAAGCTGCCTAGGAGGATGGAGGTGAGGTCAGCTCCTGGTAACTGCAGGAGGGAAAACTCAAGAGCAGAATGGAGCCAGGTGCGTCCTACTGGAGAAGACACAATGAAGGGGCCAGAAGCTCAGAAATGGGAGAGCAGATGTGCCCAATTTTTTGGAGAAATATTGAGTACTGAGTGTGGTGACCTGTCTCTCCCAGCTCTGAAGTTATCAGGAAAACAGCTATCTTTGCTTGGTCATTGATTTAACTAATTGATTATGTGTTGAAGCTAAAAGAGTGGCTGAAATCTGATGCAAGGGTTGACTGACAAGTGTCCGGAACAGTGTGCTCCCATGGGTGATAAGGGTTCGTCAGTGGTTGCTGTCATCACGTCACAGATGGACGACGGATGAGCAAACCACAGTGAATGCTACAGTGTGTGCCTGTAGGGGTGGATCTCAGTCGCTTTGGGTGGATCTGTCCTTAATTGTATTGTTATTCTCATACACAGGTCCCCAGCCAGGGACTTCATAAGAAGCCTTTGTTTAAATCCCAGGACCTCGAAAGCCTTTAAATGTCTGGGTTACAGAAACCGAGGTGTGTGCAGATTTGAGCTGAGGAGTCTTTACGTCACTGAAGGACAGTCTGAGAACAGGAACCTGTTTGTCTTCTCCTGTGTGCTATTCCCGGTCAGACTCGAGTTCCCTGTCAGCTGCGAATAAACCACAGGCCGACGCCTTCTTCCAAGTTCCTGATGCAGGACTGATTTCGTTGGTGCATCCGACGCCAATGCGCTCTTTGCTGGGCTGCTCTTTCGCCTCCTCTCCATCTCCTTGCTCTTGTTATTTGCTGTGGTCTTTTCTTTCTGCTTTTCAGGTCTCTCCCCGTTCCTGACTCCTGCTTCTCTCTCTTTAGTCCCAGTATAGCAGATGGCACCTGACCCCCAGAAAGCCGTCTCTGGAGAAAGGACTTGCTTCTGGGAACAGGCTTATTTTTGTTTTTAAAGAAGTAAATTTTTTAAAACTATTAATTTATTTTGATATTTTTGAGATAGTGGTTCTCTGTGTAACAACCCTGGTTGTCTGTCTTGGAGCTTACTCTATAGACCAGGCTGACTTCAAACTCACGAAGATCTACCTGCCTCTGCCTCCTGAGCACTGGGATTAAAGGCATGCACCAACACCACCCAGCAACATTTATTTTTATTTTATTTTATGTGCATTGATGTTTTGTCTACTTGTCTGTCTGTGTGAGGGTGCCAGATCTCCTGAAACTGGAGTTACAGTTGTGAGCTGCCATGTGCCTGCTGGGAATTGTACCTGGGCTCTTCTGGAAGAGCAGCCAGTGCTCTTAACCACTGAGCCAACTCTACAGCCCCTAGGGACAGCTTTATTTTAAACACAGTGGCAAGCTCTTAGGCTGGGAGGAGGACAAACTCAGCTTAGGGACAAGGCTTTAGGCTCTAGCAGAACAAAGCCTGGATTTTTTATTCCTTCACCACAGGCTCAAGCTTCTTTTTATTTGTTTGATTGAGACAAGTCTAACTACTACACTGCGCTCACAAGGCCAGGAATTTACTATCTAGCCCAGGCTGGCCTTGTACTCACAATGCTCTTGATTTAGCCTCTCAGGAGCTGGGGTTATAGATGGGTGCTGCCACATCCTCTCAGGCCTGTATTCTGTAAATAAGAGACGTTTTTAGCATAACAGAAACTGAGTGTATGTTTCCTAAACACATTTTCTCTTCTTCCAGTACAGCAGGAGCTGGGATGCGATGACCCAGAGGACGGCTCCAAGGCCCTAAGATGTAGAAACACTAGACAGAAGTAGTCCAGGCCCCTGAATGACATGGAAGAATAGAGCCCCAGTGTTGTCTGCCCTGTCCCCTACTTTGTGACTTAACTAGCAATGAGTTTGTATTCTCTAAAACTGCTGAAATACTGAGGTTGTTTGTTATGGCAATCGCTTTCCCCTGGTTGACTCACCCATTAAAATTGGAAAGTGCTAATGAAAAGACTTCGTTTGGCCTTGAAGAACGGGCAGGATAGTGCACGCAATTTCCTAATAATTGCAACTCACCTGGGGGGTGGGGGGAGGGACCAGTCTTCTCCAGTTTACACTGCATCTCAGGACTTCCATGTTTTCACAGAACTCCTGCGGTGTGGTATTGATCAGTGGGAGATACCGGAAGCCTTGTGATAGAGAACCTGGCAGCCCCAGAGTCCCAAGAGTGATGGGTAGCAGCTGCTAAGTGGACTCAGTTGTCCTGGACCCAAGAGGAAGTCGGGAAACCTAGTAGGCAGGTCAGGGCCTATAGAAATGTCTACAGTGGCCCCAGAATAAGAAGTATTAGAGAACATGATTTGCGCTTCCTTTGATTAAGTGCAGGACACTCTAGAGAGGTTTAAAGTGCTGCCGGGTGTCACAAAGACAAGAGGTGACAAAGAAGGGACCCATCTGTAAATGATCGGGACCCCCACATGGGATCAATGTGGCTTCTGTTCTGACTTCTATAACATTTTCTCTTCAGAGAAGGCACAGTTTCAGGAGTGACAGGCTGTTCCAGGTCACCCCCCTCCAGTCACCTTTCTTTGACTTTCCTTGAAGGCGAGCTAAGTTTGGATGCCAGGGAGGCCTGGGGAATCTGAACCTTCTGCAGTAACCTCAGTGGGCGTTTTGGCATCCGAGATATTCAGTCCACCTGCTAACTAGGGAGAAACTCACAGCTGTTCCTATGGCAGGGTAAGTAACCTGATATCTCTGGTGACTGCTTAGAGTTTTTTCTTTAAATTGAGAGAAAATCAGTAAGCAGAGGCAGGAGGGTCGACCCACATTCCTCAAACTCAGTGAATTTCAGACCAGCCTGGAGGGGCGAGACTCTGCCCCTCAAAGATCCCCAAAAGAACAAATAATGAAATCAACTGAAAAAAGAAAGGTAGGCTAAGTTTGAGAACTCTGTTTCTGAGCTGTAATTCTTATGTTCAAATGGGGGAAACTGTGACAAGAAGCCATCTGAAGGGGACAAGACAAACAAAATGGATAAAAGCTGTGGGGGCCAGAGAGGTTGTGGGCTTTCAGCATCTGCTTCCCTCTGCAAACTATTGGCCAAAGCTGGGTTGCTAGGTACATGCGGCACTTGGAGAAGCCTTACAGTTTATGTTTTTGTGTGGGGTTTATCCATGTGCATATGTGTGTGTGACTGTGTATGTGGAATGAGTCCAGAGGTTGTTCTGGGGTATCTTCATCTGTCTTACTTTCCACTTTTATTTTTCTTAGTTTGCTTCTTATTGTGTGATGAGACACTATGAACAAACCAATCTGTGGAAGAAAGTGATTACTTCGTCTTACAACCCCACCAGGTTACAGTCAATCACTGGGGGAAGTCAGGACAGGAACTCAAGCAGGGAGGAACCTGGAGGCAGGAACTGAAGTAGAGGCCTGTGGAGAATGCTGCTTACTGGCTTGCTCTCCGTGACTTGCTCAGTCTGCTTTCTCATACAGCTCAGGACCTCCTATCCAGGGGTGGCACTGTCTCCAGCAGGTAGGGCCCACACACGCACAGCAATCATAAACCCAGAAAATGCCCCGCAGGCTTGCCCAGAGATCAGTCTGATGGAGATACTTTCCAATTGGGGTTTCCTCTTCCCAGAAGATTTGAGCTTCTGTCAGGTTGCCAAACAACAAGATGACAATGACACAAAACCTAAGCAACACACTCACTAAATCTGGAACTCACTGCTTCTGCTAGTCTGGCTGGCCAGAGAGCACCAGGATCCTCCTGGCCCCCAACCAATGCTGGGGCTACAGGAACACACAACCATGCCTGGCTTTTATGCGGCACTGACCATCTGAACTCAGGTTGTCATGCTTGCCCAACAAGTCCTTCACACTGAACCATCTCCCTAGATCAGCGGGTCCCAACCTTCCTAATGCTGCGACCCTTTAATACAGTCCCCCACCCATAAAATTATTTCCCTGTGACTTCGTGACTGTAACGGATTGCAGTGTAAACATCTGATTTACAGGGTATCTTGATATGTGACCCCCAATAGGGTTTTGACCCACAGGTTGAGAACCACTACTACTACTACATCCTTATGTGTTTTTTACTGAGACAGTCTCTCTCTCTCTCTCTCTTTCTCGGTTTTGTGAGACAAGGTTTCTCTGCATAGCCCTGGCTGTTCTGGAACTCACTCTGTAGACCAGGCTGGTCCTAGAATTCAGAGATCCTCCTGCCTCTACCTTCTGAATGCAGGGATTAAAGGCACCGCCCACCACTGCCTGCCGAGATAGTGTCTCTTTGGATAACCCAGGCTAACACTGAACTGGAGCTCCAAGCTGCCTCAGCCTCCTGAGTGCTGACTTTGCAGGCCTGTGTCACCAAGCCTGGCTGTGAAGTTTTCAAACTGTGATACGCACAGCTTCAACTCATTTCGATTCCAGAAGCAGGGGTACTCCTGGAGTCTCTTTCTTCTTTGTTCTCTACTGTGTCTGACTTCCTGTTCTGGGCCACCTCAGCCTGTTCCAGGTGCTTAAGTTTCTGTCCTGTATGTCCTTCTCACATCCCAGCTCACCGACACCAGTCTTCACTTCTCTGTGTTCTGATGAGCTGCTCTGATATCAGGCAAGCACCTACTGGTTTGTTGTGACTTGTAGTGTTTCTTTTCTTAGATGACCTACATTGACATAAAATAAGGCTTTTAGTCATATCCAGAGAAGCTGGCAAACTGTAAATATTTCAGTTACAGATCACTGCAAGAATTAACACACCAGGGACCGGTGAGATGGCTTAGCGGGTAAAGAAGCTTAGAGTCAGGCTTGATCTGAGTTCAGTTCCTGATGCCTACACAATGGAAGGAAAGACCCGGTCCTCCAAAGTATGCATGTACTCACACACATGCATACATAAAATAAACAAACATTAAAAAAGAATTAACACGTAATTCATTAAGCCATTAAAATTATTATCGTTATTGTGAGATGTGGTGACCCCTTTTAATAACATTTTTTATTTATTTTTATGTGTATGAGTGTTTTACCTGCATGTATATCTGTGTACCATGTATGTGTCTGATGCCCGAGGAGGCCAGAGAGGGCACTGGTGGAGTTACAGATGGTTGTGAGTTGCCATGTGGGTGCTGTGCTGGGCCTCTGGAAGAGTAGCCAGTGCTCTTATCCACTGAACCATCTCTCTAGCCCCCAAATTACTAATTTTATTACTCGGTAAGTTAAAAAGTTAAACCTTTAATAACAAGCCAGTGCAGTGGTATACATCTTTAATCTCAGAACTTGGGAGGCAGAGGCAGGCAGATCTCTGAATTCCAGGCCAGCTTGATCTATGTCGTGTGACCCAGTCTCAAACAATAAGACATCAATCTAAAGCACACCAGACACTGATGAAACACTGGTTTCCGGTGCTCAGGGCTTTGCACGTTTGACTCTCAGAACAGGAGTTATCGGCATTCAGCAGATGGTAAGGAGACCTGCCTAGATAAACGAGAAGCTCCAGCTTCAAGCTGTTGTAATGTTTTCGGTATTCATGCACTAAAACGCCGATCTCTTGGTGCCCGTGGGTGGGAAACCAGTCGGCTCCTATTCGCCTGACCTTGCAAGCCACGAGCAGCCTGTAGTGTGTAAATGGATACCTGAGACCAAGAAAACCACGTCAGAGCCTCTGTATACTTTAATCCACACTTAAGACGGGGGAAAAGAGCCACAGGAGCTGTGTGCTTTAAAAGGATAGTATCATTTAATTCTCTCAGCAAGAAGGAGATAGCAACATTTTCGTTTTAAGAGAGCCAGCCAGGTGTGGTGTTGCATGTCTGTAATTCCGGCGCGCACAAAGTAAAGGCCGGAGGATTAGGGGTTCCAGGCCAGTTTCAACTACGCAGCCAATTCGATACCAGTCCATACTACAATGATCTCAAATATATGTAATTTTAAAAATTAATAAATCCCCCCCTTTTTTTGAGACAGAGTTTCTCAGTGTAGCTCTGTCCCGGAAATCACTCTGAAGACCAGATTGCCTCTGCCCTCCAAGTGCTGGGAATTTTAAAGGCGTGTACCACCACCACTGTCTGTCCAGGAAAAGCATGCGCAGCCACACCTGGCCATAGATAAATAAGTGAAACCTGGTGAGCTGTCACGTGCCTGTATTACTGGGTTTGGAGGTGGTGGGGTGGGGGTGGGGGAGATCAGGAGTTCAAGGTCATTCTCACCTACAAAGCCAATTCCCATTAAGACCCTTGTCTCAAAAACTTGGACAAAGCCAAAGCTCAGTGACTTGCCAAGATGGCCCTGGCAGTAACTAACACAAGTAGGCTTCAAAAACCAGTTTGTCTATTCCAAACCCACGCGAACTGAACTTCCCAGCCCGCGCCTCCCTAACTACCGGCTATCTCGTTCCACGCTCTCCACACACCGGTCGGACCGCCTGCTGAGGAAGAATGACTCCGCCCGGCGGCGCAGCGCCGCTGAGCCGGTGACCGGCAGTAGCCGGTGCCTCCTCCCAGCCGTGCTCGCTGCAAGTCACACCTTTCCCGCCCGCGGCCCCACGCGCGGCCCGCAGCGAACTACACTTCCCGGCAGGACGCGGCGCGCGCACGCGCACGGGGGGCCTCCGCCATGGCGACAGTGCTGTCCAGAGCGCTCAAGCTCCCGGGTAAGGAGTCTGCAGCCCGGCGACCACGCTGGGGAGGCCTGGTCTGAGGAGAGGGGCGGACGAGGCTCGGCGGGGCCTGGCTGTTAGCTGGGAGGGCTGCAGCGCTCGGGGGACGAGAAGGGGCGCCGGGGTGTGGGTCGGGGGCGCTCGGGGACACTTGGGGACTCGCGGGGACTCCCGGGGCAGAGACTGCTGGAGGCGCGCGGGGCCGGGTTGGGGGCGGAGGGGCGCGACGGTGACTGTCAGGTCAGAGAGCCTGACACCGCCGTCTCCCAGGGAGGGCCGGCCGCCGGAGCATCCTTCCCTGAGCGCCATGACTCGCTGCTGCGATCTGGGGCTGGACCAGAGGGGGAGCCGGGGGCTGCAGGACTGTGAGTGAGTGGCCTGGGCGGAACAGCGTCTCCGCTTGCTGACAGCCGCCTGGCAGCAGCGAGCCAGCCGGGGCAGGTGTTCCCCTTCCTCCTGGGTGGAAGAGGAAGGCGAAGAGATTAGGAAAATGGCTAATTGAATCGCACAGGGTCACACAGCAGGGGGCTATGTTTGAACCAAGGCGCAGCTATCGTCGTTAGCAATTTTTAAGCATTTAGAGCTATCGAAAAAAAATTGTTGTTTTCCTTAAAAATTTAAACATACAGCCGTAAGGCTTTTTTTGTTTGTTTGTTTGGCTGATCTCTTAAGAGGAGAAGCAATTGCTTTCCCTGGCGTGTTAAAAAGGGTATCTCTGATGCCCAGCTTGAGGCTTTTGGTGGGACTCAGGGCCCTTGTTCTCAAAGAGTTTCCACTCTGCTACCTTGAAACCAGCCCTGTGTCTTAGCTGACCGGAGACTTCATGTCTTTAGATCTTTTCCCCCTTCATGGGCAGCTTGGAACACTGCAAAGAACATTGATAAGATCTATCTTGGAATGCGTACATAATACTGAAATTAAAAGAGACGTTTTCCCTGCAGGATTCATTTACCCTGAAGAAAGTCCCCTCCAGCTTGAATGCTGTCTTCTCAAAGACATAATTAAATGTCAGGCATTTTTAGCATCTCTTGTTTATTTGTTTTGGAGCCCTTGTTTTATTTTAGCATAGATGATTGTTATTCTCTGAGAATAAAACTGCAGGAAGGGGGTTAGATCAGGGGTAGAGTGCTTGCTTAGCACACACACAGACCCAAGTTCAATCCCCATCACAGAAAAGAAATGTTATTAGTATTCAAGAGGAGGGGAACGAGGGAGAATAATGAGATGGATATGAGAAAAACACAGTACTCTATGTGTGTAAAAGTGTAGTGAAACTCGGCATTTTGTATACTATTCAAAATAATGTTAAAAAGTAATTCAGGAATATCTTGGCTGATCACTTTGGAGAATGCAATGCACACAGCGCACTCTTTGGTGTATTGAGTTGTAGTTCTTCGGTCATCTGACTCTATCGAGTGAATGATTGTCTTTGGAAGGCAGTTTGGCCCCAAGGGCTGAGTTATGATCAGTACTAAGGCCTACATACATATCTATATGCCTTGCCCTATATGTGATGTGGACTCTTTTTTTCTTTTTAATTAATTAATTAATTAATGTACATTGGTGTTTTGCCTGCGTGTATGTCTTTGTGAGGGTGTCAGAATCTCTGGAACTAGAGTTACAGTTTTGAGCTGCCGTTGAGTGCTGGGAATTGAACTCCGGTCCTCTGGAAGAGCAACCAGTGCTCTTATCCACTGAGGAGTCATCTCTTCAGCCACACCCCACTTCTTTTCTTGTTTTTCTCCTAGTCTTTCCCTTGCCCCTTTTCTTCACTGCCCAAAATACAATTTGTGGCTTTTAAATTAGGTAGAAGTTACTTTCTCAAAGCTGTTATTGGATACCTTGTAAATTGGGGCTGTGACTCTGAGGTCCTGTTTGTTACTGTGCTCTTAGGTAACCCTCTTGGTATTTTTTTTTTTTTTGTGTGTGTGGGGGGGGGGAAGCAAATGGAATGGTGGCTATGAACAGGAGCCAGACTCTGGATTTGGCTGGATTTGTTTTGATTTTACCTCTGCATTGAGGATCCGATCCAGGGCCTTGTATATGCATGCTAGGTGTACAAGCTGCTGGTTGGGCTTCATCCCCAGCCAGGCTCCGGGGTTCACTTGGTTAGCTGCTTTACACCTTTAAGCTTTAGTTTCCTCATCTGCAGTAATAGCGTTGTTCTCGAACTTTCTCAACATGCCACACGCTGCATTGCATAGTTATCTCACGGGGGTCATTTGGGATGGTAAAAGAGAGAGTTATTCTTAGGAATTTAATTAGCTTCTTGCACACCAGCTATTGTTTTGGTCACTAGTAACTTATGGGGGCGGAACACGGGGAAGACCTGATCCAGCGGTGAGTGACACAGGGACCCAGCTCTGCTGGGGATGCAGTTCATCCTCTGGAACCCTTTCACTGAGCTCTGGATGGGAAGGCATTTGGCTCCTGTGCCCGGCACGAGGTTAATAAGTAACAGAGGGACAATGTGGCATTCATAAAGCCAGTAGGACAGCTTATCTCTTAGGTATATGTTTTTTTAGTTTTAAAGTTTAAAGGTCAAACACGGAAGGGACTGTTTGAGTACAGTGTTATTGTTGTGGTTTGTTTTATGGGATGTGACTTAGAGGACCGGGCCTCTAGGTAAACTAAACCATACAGGGAATTGTTGACTTTGGTACAGGCATGTATCCCGTCCCACGTGTGAGTTACAGTGTGAGCTGAGGTAGAGGGTGGCACAGGGTGGCATATGTCTCAGTGCGTTTCCCTAAGCACACCTGGGCGTAACGCGGTTGCGTCCCTTCGCAGGAAGGAACAGGAACGATTCCACTGCACCATTTGGGAACACTGTTGAGTCACTGTCTCAGTCTCCCGGGAGGAAAGCAGCGCCTGTGAGAAGCTTTTACATCACTGTGTTATGAAACCAGAGCCTTCTCTTGTAATCTTTGCAGGCAGAAATAGTTATAGAAGCGTGTGTGTGCATGCACGTGCGCGTGGGTGCGTATGCCCGTGTCTGTGTGTGGGTATGTGCATGTGTATGCAGGAGCCCGTGGTGGTTAGAGGCATAGGATCTCCCCTGGAGCTGTCTCATGTGTGTGCTAGGAATTAAGTGCAGGTCCTGCAAGTGTAGCGCATGCTCCTAACTACTCAGTGATCTTCTAGCCCCTCTTTGCAGACATCTCACTGACTGAAAACCTGGGCCTTTGGAAGATGGCTCAGTCGGTAAGAGCGGTTGCTGTACGAGCATGAGGACCTGAGTTCGAATCCCTAGTACCCACATAAAAAGCTGGCTGCACATGTGCCTATAACCCCAGTGCTGAAGGGCTAGAGGCAAGAGGATTCCTGGGGCTTGCTGGCCACCAACTTAGTTCCAGTTTCAGTGTGAGATCTTTTTCCAGGAAAATAAAGTGGAGAGCAATATAACAGGACACCTGCTACCCTCCTGGCATGTGGGCACACACATCTGTGTGCACAGTGTACATACACTACACACACACACTGTGCATACATATACACATGTATACATATAATATGCACATGTGTGCTACACATCGCACATACATATACATGTATACACCATAAACACACACACACACACACACACACCTGGGTGCTCACCAAAAGCAGCGGACTCAGAGTGAGTGCTGCAACTCTGGACTGTGAAGCACAGACTCTTGTCTGGTCTGAGTGTGGCCTGAGGCTAGTCAGGGGCTTCATGTTCTGCCCATTTGTTTCGTTTTTGTAAACAGAGAAAAAGAAACCTTGTCTAGTTAACTTGCATTCTATAATAACTAAGCCAAAGTTTGTTTTCATACTATCTGTGTTAATGTAAATTCGAATATTTATCATGCTCCAAAGGTTGCTCTTGAATTGGCCCTAATGTCTGAGAGCTTTCAAGGCTTCAGCCAATGGTCGCTCTGTGCTCTGGCGTGCTGGCCTTCATGCTGCAGAGGTCCTGGACTTTATACCCTAAGTTCTTCCTCGGACAACTTCGGAGATATTGTCCTACTACCCCCCCCCCCCCCCCAATGCCCATGTAGCCCAGGCTGGCCTGGAGCTCCCTACACAGCCGAGAATGACTTCAATGCCGGATTGGTTCTCTTGCCTCCACCTCCCAAGTAATGATTACAGGCATATGCTACCACACCTAGGTGAAGTTAACCTATTAAAAAAATATTTTTAGTGTGTCTGGGGGGCAGCAGAGGGCTTGCACTCACGACACACATGTGGAAGTCAGAGGCTAACATGCAGGAAAGGATTTTCTATCAGGGGGTCCAGGGGATTGAACTCAGGTTTGTCGGGTTTGGCACCCACTGAGCCATCTCGCTGGTCCTTTCCCTGACTGTCCTCAAACTCTTGAGCCTCCCGAATTACGTGTTTCCCTATACCAGATGCCAGTTTGACTTTTGTCCATCATTGTTAGAAATTCGCTCCTTCACTGTAAGCTGGATGCTATGCCCTTCTGTTGTCATCCTTGAAGTCCTGCACTTTTACTGGGATGTTCAGTGAGAATTATTCTGTACCGGGTTGTCTCGGGCCTCTGTGCTGTTTGTTCTTGCAGTTAGGTGTGGCTTTATTGCAATCTCTCTCCATCCTTCTTTTGCATCTCCTTTAAATACTGTGTTATGCTCCATTTTCTCTCCTCTTCAGTTATACATATCTCTGTATTGGTCAGTTTCTTAGGGTTCAAAACTTTGGTTTGAGTTTTAGGTTTATCTGTGTGGGTTTGCGCCTGTGAGTGCCGTGCCTGTGGAGACCAGAAGAGGGCGTCAGGTCCCCTGAAGCTGGAGTTGCAGGCAGTTGTGAGCCACCTGGAATGGATCCTGGCAACTGCAAAATGGACTCGGGTCCTCTGGCAGAGCAGAGTGTGTGCTTAACCATCAAGCCATCTTTCCGGCCCTGGTTTGAGTGTTTTGAGACAGGATCTCTTTTAGAGGCCAGGGTTGGTCTGAAACTCACTAAACAGCCCAAGCTGGCCTGGAACTCTGGGCAGCCCTCCCGCAGAGCCTGCT